GTACCCGCCAGGCCAGGCCACGCTCTACCAGCCAGACCTCGCCGGGTCCTCCAGACCCTGCGCACGAGGCCCGCCAGGCCGCGCTCGCCCGTACCCGCCAGACCAGGCCACGCTCTCCAGGCCAGGCCGCGCCGGGTCGTCCAGACCCTGCGCGCCCGGCCGCGCTCACCAGAGCCCGCCAGGCCGGGCCGCGCTCCAGGCCTCCCAGGCCTCGCCTGCAACCCTCGGCGTCCCCGGCCGAGCCCAGCCGAGCTCGCCACTCGGCCTCGCTGAGGCTGCAGGGCTTGGCGATCCCAACCTCCCGGGCAGCCCCAGGGCCCACCGCGCGGCCACCAGGCCTCGCCAACATATCCATCAGAGCCTGCCAGGCAGGAAGACAGCCCTCTCCATGCTAGTCACCAGTGTGCTCCAGCAAGGCTTCCCTGGCCACCCACTTTCCCGTCTAATATTATTGTGTCGTGCCGTTCAAAGTGGACTATCACATGTTGTTTCGCCAAATTGAAAAAGAATCCTGTCTACCCAGACTTCTCGCCAGCTACTGCCTCATTTTTCTGCTCTTTATATCAACACTCTTTAAAAGAGATTTCTATTCTTGCTACCACCAAGTACCCCTTTCAGATACTCCCCCTGGTCCCCTGCACTGGCTTCCCCCCAAGAGCCACAAGACACTCCCTCAGCTTCAAGTCTTTGCTTAAATGTCACTTTCTCAGCAACACGTACCCCACTGAAAATCCCTGAACACATCCGAGACCGCCAGCCCTCCGAACTCTCCTTCCCTTTCTTTTTTACAGCACTCATCACATTCTAATATACGACTTAGCCATTGTTGTTTTTGTCTGTAAGCTCCATGTGAAAAGGGATTTTTGTCTTGTTTTAGTGACTGATTCATTCAAGTATTTGTTATAAATAAATGAATATTAAGTGTTTGCTGTTTTAAAATATAATTTATTCATATATATTTTAAGATGTGAATTAACCAAATCAGAATAAAATATACAATTTATTGAACCATCCCCATATAGTTAGTTGTTTCAGCATATCTGCCACAATACTACAAAATATATATATAGTACATAGGTACAGTACCAATCCCTCTATTGGTAAAATTTACCAAAGTAGGTTACAGGAATATATGTTTTAAAATTTAACAGCTACTGCCAGACTATCAGGAGAAACCATGAAGGGGACAAAACATGAATTATATCTAAAACTCAACCAGGTATCTTAAAATATCATAGAATTATATAGTTTTAAGAAAATAATGAAAGAACATAGGGCTTAAGAAGATATGTTCACATCTTAATAGTGAGAGATGCAAAATTCAAGCCAGCGATCCACCTGATGGCCGCTGTAGATTTCTGTAAGTGCACACAGGAGCCACACAATATAACTATCGCCTGAAGTCAGGGCCAGGCTCCTGGGTGAATGAAGCCACTTGACACAGCAACTACAATCAGATTCACTGTGTCCTACCCAAGTCACCAACAAGAAGGCGGCCTGAATTCCAGGCTTCGGTGGCGAGTAACCAATTAATACTCTTCCCGAGTGGGCACATTTACCTCAGTTAAATGGGCTGGTAACAGGCTTCCTGAAACGGATATATAGCTTTTTAACCGTCAGAAAGATTAAATTAAAACCACAGTGTTCCTATTTAGGATGTTAGAAGGAATGTGAACATATTCAGCATTTTTACAAATGTGCAATGTTTAATGTTATAACTCTAGTTCAAAGGTTATAACTGAGCAACTGATTTAGACTGTGACACAGAATTAGAACATCTCAGAGAATTTCAGGTTCATCCTATTTGTGTCTAAAGTATTAAATATAAGTTTAAAGGATTACTTTTTTATTAGTGCTTAAGTTTTAATTGGCAGATCACATATCTGAAGTACTTTAAAAGGGACTCAAATATATAAAATGTATAAATCATTTTAAAACGTGAAGATGATTCAACTAGGTGGCAAATGAAGCCAAGTGTTTACAGGCCCGATAAAAATGAATGCTAAACTCTGCTAGATTTATATATGTAACAGTATCATTTGCCTAAGGAAAAACTAACTAATGTATGACTTTTTTAATCAAAAATAATATTATTTAAACCAAAGTTGGGGTCTTAATATTCCTTTCTAAGTATAAAAACTGCCCTTGTGGGCACTATAAAACTCACATCAACAGTTATCTTCCCTAAAGGGTTGCAGACAACCATCCTCCTATGTAGCAAAATAGGAAATGCTCGTTTCTAGGCTCCTTGTCAGCACTCTTATGATGTGATGCAACCATTTAAACTTCTGCCAATCTGATTGCAATCTGACTGGGGGGGAAAAAGGAGCTTTCATTATTGCTTTGATTGGCATTCACACCTGGCTTACTAGCGAAGTTGTACCGGCCATCAGGATTTCCTCTTTGTGAAAGGCCTGTTCTTAGACTTTGCCATTTTTCCCCTGGGTTGTCTGTCTTATCATTTATTAAGAGAAGCTCTTACCTCTTCCAGATTATATTTCTATTTTACTAGGGTTTTTCCCCCCAATGTCCTATTTATTGTCTTTCCACTTTTAATTTAACTGATCTGTAATTTCTGTTACATGATAGGAAGTCTGACGCTGTTTGCTAACAGATAAAATACCTAAATTACACCCTCATTTTTGGTTCTACATGAAGTTCTCATATACATTTGGAGCTAGTGCCATACTAGCTCTTTCCTGTTCTAATTTATCGGGAGCTCCAGTTTTTGTGGCTGCTCTCAAAATTCACATTTTTTCCCTCTCCAGAGAGTTCATAAGGAGTTGGTTTCTCAGGAGTTCAGATTTCCCGTCATGGTTCCCATTTTAGCTCTATAACTATCTGAGCGCCTCTATGACTCTCAGACAACACAGCCCCAAATAAGTACACAGACTCTGGAGCTGGCCTATCGGCATTCAAATTCACAGCCATGCAACCTCTGGCAAGTGGCTTATCCATTTTGTGCTTCAGTGTCTTCATTTATAAAATGAGGGGAATAAAATAACCAACTTCAAAAAAATTGTGCATGGATTAAATGAGATATTTTACTTAAAAACATTAACACCTGGCACATAAGTGCACAAGAAATTTAGTTATTATTTTGTTATAAAACAAAATGTATAATAACAAATTTAGTTATTTCTATTGAATAACACACATCAGCAAAATTAGATCCGATTCAACATTAACTCTGTGCTAATGTTAATGTCACTGTCATCCACTCGCACTCGTTTGCTTTCTTGAGTTGAAAGACAGGGCAACTTTTGACAGTGCTGAAAGTACTCATCACCTCGCGCACCCCTCTCCCTTTAGGAGTTGAGTTTGAAGCTCTGGGAAAGGTATCTGTCGTGTGTGTCTGGGAGTAAACTGAGATTGGAAACTGCTGGTTTATATCAACGTCAACCTGTCAATAAGCTTTTAGCTCATCTAGTTACCTTCAGCCTCTCAACACCCTTTAACCACCCTCTGCTCTTCCATGGGGCCCCAGCTTTCTAAAAACGCATTTTAGCAGATCACCTCTCCCATTACCTTCACAAAGAATCTAAAATGGATCCACTAGCAACCCCAGAATATATCAACTCTCCTGCCTGGCTTTCAAAGCCTACCTAACTTGGTCATTATCAAACTTTGTCCAGCCATGCCAACCTCACCAATCCTCCTCCTAGTGACCTGTCTGCATCTGGTATTGGTCTATGTTACACTAGACTAGACTAGACTAGACTACCGTAAACTAGAAGACACACTTTTCATTAGCCAAAAATACTACAGTCGAGTATTATAATCAAGTCAGGAAGAAAACTACGCTTCCTCCTTCTGAAAACCTGAGCAACATTAGCCAACAGCCACTTGTGGCCTCTCTCCATGAATCATCAGAAGATCCCAAACAGGAAAACGGCAATCTCGCTTGCAAGTTTTTTAAGTATATCGCAAAATAATAACGTGTCTGACCCAAGAGTTCACAACAACCTGGTGCTTCCTCAGATCTCTATCCTGGGCTGCAAATCCCTCTTACCGTGTTTTCAGTCCAACGGTCTCCTCAATGGGAGAGAGAAAAACCAAACAGGAGTTGGGCCTCAACCAGCAGAACTTGAAGACCGTACTCTTCTTACTCTAAACATTACTTGCTAAAAAGCTCTTTTAACTGTGTTGGGGATTTCCATTCAAAATGACAGGCAGAGCTCCTACCATCGGAAGCTGCACCTCCCAAAGCCAATCCCCAGTCACATGCTATCTTCACTGCATGACTGTCCCTCACCATGAGACCTCACCAAGCTGCCTTGGTCAAAGGTCACCACTGACATCCATGCTACCAAATCCAAGGACAACACTGGCTGCTTTATGTCTGCCCTACACCTATGTCTTCATTTAGGCATCTGCCCCTTTCCCACCCCACGTAACTTGGTAGGGCTGCCAGCCCACTTGGACCCATCATCCTCACCAGACGAAAGGAATCCTGGCCCAAAAGGAGGGCGTATGGGGAAATAAAATGAGCCCTAGGAAAGGAAGGCTTGCACTTTTCTCTGGAATGGCCAGTCCTTAGGACTATTTAATTTTTAATGTAAGCCTAAAACCAATGACCATCTTTGACCCCATGTGACTACAGACTGCCTGAGAATCCAATGACCTCAGAAGACAGCAGAACATTACATGGGGGAAAGGGACTGGACACCAGAGGAAATGAGGTGAAGGAGGGAGAAAAGAGTTTAAGAAAAGCCTGAGAACGCAAAGCTACATAGGAAACAGCCTTCTATATCACTAAATACAAATCTAAGTAATTCTTTGTAATGACTACTATAGTATTCACCAGCTGGAAGTAACCTAACTTGATCTCATAGTGGACACTTAAATTATTACCACTTGTAACTATTATAAAACATAAAATGTACATTATGTATCATAAGCAAATAAAATTGTGTAGGTAGCTATACACACAGAGTCATTTTTGCAAAATTGGGATTCTGCACATCCAGTAATTTAAGGGCGGATTTACTTACCCACGGAACGATAGCTGCCCGTCTTCAAGTCGTGCACACAAACAGCACTTTTCCCACACTGGGCAATGCCCACGTTTCCGCAGACGCTGATTTTATAAAGCATGTGATTTTTGGTATCAACAGCTTCCCAAGTATAACTAAAAAGGAGGAAAAACAATTTGTCACTGTCACTGCTCTGCCAATAATTAAACTTCTCTCTAGTTTTACATTCAAGCCACATTTGCTTAAGATGGCCACAACTTTCATTAACCAAAAATACTGAAGTCGACTATGTTAAGTTGGATACAAGCCAGGGCAGAAACCACTAAATACCACCCGGCTCTGGTTCAATCCGCCCTGAAGCCACCTCAAGACTCAGCAATGACCAAAATTTTTTAAATTCTACCATTAACTTAAGAATATCAACTCTGATAAGTAATTGCTCAAGAGTCATGTGGATATAAGACAGCAACCATTCCCATCACACTGGAATGCTGAAAAGCCCAAGGAGTGTTGTTGTTTTATTTTTTTAACTTTATTTTATTTAAAAACTAGTTGTGGCATGAAAGACAGTTCTATTTCTGTTTTTACCTTTTACAGCTACAGTTCAATGAGAGCTGATAAGACGAGGTTGTGCAATGAGTGACCATGTGATTCAAAATCAGACTTTTACTTTGGGTTGACCCACTGCGACATGCATTTTACATACATTAACACTCACTGTCTACTCAAACTTCTGACAAAGTAGCTATTGACTCATTGTTAATAAATCAATCTGCATACTGGGGACAAAATAATGGCTTCTCAGTTCTGTCAAAACAAGTATTCTCAATTCTCCACTCTGGGAGAATGCTTTGTCCATTTTGTAAACGGAGGGGGGGGGGAGCGGCATTTCCTCAGCCAGGGTAGAGACAGGAAATGAGGAACGTGACTAAAAAGTTCCCTGCAAAATGTAAAGATAACTCAACGGAATTGCTGAAAGGAAGGGAGATAAATTAACTCTGAATCCCACGGTAGGCTCGGCCTAGCTAGGAGCTGGAGGGCCTGGGGGAGGCGGGGGACGTTAGGGTCACCACTCATGTGGATCAGGAACTTTCTAACCACAGCAGTGCCACCTGGATGACAGAAGACGCTCCCTCACAGAAGGAGCAATCCACTCCCCAGAGCTGCCCTTCCACTGGGCATCAGGGATGACTGGGCAAAGAACATCAGGCAACACACTCTTTGGCCTAGAAGTCTCCCCAGGGGCTCATCCATCAATGGAGGAACCCCACAATGGTGCTGTTCTCAGGCAAGGCGCCCAGCATTCTCCTGAAAGGCGGTCTGACCGACATCCACCCGCCAAGAAGCCCAGGAACAAAAGCACACATAAGCACTCAGGCAGGGTGACGACTGTTCCCCAGAAGTTCTGACAGCCACCAAGCTGCCAGAAACCTGAAGAACAGGCTGGTTTGCTTGTGAAGTGCCCACTTTGGGGTGACACCAGCTCGAAAGCAGTTACCAGGGAATCCCCACCCCCTCAAGAGGAACACCTCAGAACGATCTCCTCGAGTCAGGAGGGTTAGACGGCACAAGAAAACCACCCCAGTATTTCCAGGCAGGAGAAAGTCATCCTTAAAGGCCTGTTTCCTTTGACCTTCACTGCCCTTCATTCGTTTGCTTCACAAATATCCTTAAGTACTTAGCTGCAGAGCCACTGAGTACAGCAATGGTCAAAACAGACACAAAAAGCCACCGTCCTCCTGGTATGTATTCCAGGGCAGGAGAGAAAATAAACAGGAAAACAAATACACAGGATCATTCCACCTCCTAGTACTTGCTGCTCAGACAAAAACAAAATAGCCTCACTTGATAGGAAATGACCGTGTAGCTACATCAGACTGGGAAGTCTTCAAACAGGCCATGTGCCCAGGGCTTGAATGACACAAAGGAGCAACCCAGGAGTAGCTATGGTGGGAAGAATATTCCAGCAGACGGCCTGGCCACTGCAGGTCCTGAGGCGGAAATGCACTCAGCCTGCTGATGGGTGAGGATAGGAGGTGTGGTCAGAGACGGAGATGTGTGGCCATGTGGGGGGCCTTGCAGAGTAAAGGAAGCAGTTTTGATTTTGTACTTGAAGCAAAGGCAGGCCACTTGAAGAGAAGACACTATGGATTTTTCCTTAAAATTTAACCTAGTTTTATTTGCAGATTTTAGTAAAACTTTTCCATTAATTACGGTTAGTTAAGGAAACTGCTAACCTCTTATTCAGGAGCCATGACTAAGTCCTTCCAGGATACTAGGCATCCAATTGAATACCTTAGCAGTGGCATCATTCAGGTGTTTCACAATTTTAAGCATACGAGAGAGGTATACACAGGCATCCTTTTAGAATAAGCCGACTGGTAGCATCAACTCTAAGGAAATCCATACATTACTTAAAACACTATGCTTTTCTTAAAAACAGAAATCCACTGCTGTTTTTGTAGAGGTGATGTTTAAATAAGGTAGATGTAAAGAGGGTGTGTTTGCGGAGCAGAGAAAAGAGATGCAACAGAGTATAAAATGAGGAACGTTGTCCTGCTTATCTGGAAATCAGGATCTCTAGAAATAAAAAGTGCTGCTCCGTTCTTATTTGCTTTGTCAAGATTTATCAAACTGATAAGTGGCTACAGGAGTAGGAAGGGAGTTGTCCTGTGAAAGCACTTGAGTGCTGGCTTTTTTCCGGGGGATGATTTCACCACTTACCACAGGGCAGCCCCTCAAGGCTGGCACCTTCATCAGTGGCACCTCCAGGCTGCCACTCACACACCCTGCCTGCAGCACTTGGGTGACATCCTTAGTCACGTCACTTAAAAAGAGATGGCCACGGCATGTGCCTGAACCACACGACCAAGGCATCTGCAGGCCATCAGGGCTTGAGACATTCTGAGTCCGATGGACGTGTATCTGCTTGAAAACAACCAACCAAGCCTAGAGCCTCGTATCATGGGGAGTGCAGGAATAATCATTTGGTTGAAATAATCTATCTGAAAATGTGTGAAGTATTTTCTAAAAACATGTGTGTATTCTGGTATGCACCCTAGTTAGATTAAATTATCATCTAGATATGCTTCCACTGGTACTAAATACTTTTTAAGGACTATTTCATAATAAACTTGGAAGTCATACAAATATTTGATAGCACTGTTTAAGAAAATTACGTGTTTGAAACTAGATGATTCCAGACTCCTTGCCAGATCAGGGCCAAGCCACCAGAATGGCCTCGGCTGAAATCATTCTTTAAATTTATGTTAACATTTCAAAGCACCATGATTATAAGAACCAGAAAGTGGTTTCAGAAGCAATGAAAGTATCACAGACGAAATTAAATTTAACAATATCTTTGAGGAATAATAAACTTTTGTCCAAAAGCTTGTCCACTGGAAAAATCTCTACCTGAAGTAAACATGTACAGGCAAAATTTGGAAACCCGACAACATGACTCATTTAACAGTCAAGGGAAACCATTCAGCTGAGATTCACAAAAAACTCTAAATCCTAAACAAAGCTATTTGGAGTTACACAAGTAAAGACTTAAGGAAAAAAAAAACTGACAGGAAAAAAAATGAGACCAACATATTAGATCAAAGAGAAAACCTAAGCTGTATATTAAAATTTTTAAACGTTGGCAAGAAACAAATCTCTGGAAGGAAATATTTGCAAGCTGTGTAGAAATGTAGTCCTACACACACGTTGTAAATGTATTTGCTAGATGAGCATCTCCTGCAGCAGGATAGATGTGAAAGACAGTGGGCATGTGCTTGAAACTGTAACCGCCATATCAGTGTCAAGCCTTCTAACAGTCGCTAGGGCTGGAGGCTATCCCTCCATCTCATCTGAGGGAAACCAGGGGTCACACGAGAGAGCAGGGAGGACCGCAAAGGCCCAAGGCAGCAGGTGGTCGACAGGAACATGACCCAGAGGCCTTGCCCACTGTCCCGGCCTTGAAACTGTGGTCAATATCCTCAAAGGAGGCAGCCTATTCCAAGTCAGAATTGCTCTTCTGGACACAAAACCATCTGTGCAAGAACCTTGGCTTTGAAAATTACAATTGATAAAGCAAGCAAAATCCTTGCCATTCTACATCATTTTCCAGAGTGTAAAAGGTAGTTAACCGGTATGCCCCTCCCACTCTCAAAAACATCCAAATTCACTTCAAAGCAAACCTGTCAATGCTAGGTAATACAGGTACGCACGCAATGTCCTCTGGGTGCTCTGATGCCAGCCCCGCCAGCCTTTCCCACCACCACTCAATGCCAGATCTCCTCAAGGACCCCACTGCAAAGTTACTCAGGACAGTCAACGCCCTCCCTCCCAGAACAATGACCAGCAGGCACAGAATCAATGTTTACTGATAGGTGGCGTGGCAGAAGAACCAGCACAGCACGAGGCTCACCACAGGTGCTAACATCTTCTGAGCAAAGCCACCCAAGCGCTTGCCAACAGTATTCAACTCTCCCGAGTTCCTCCACTTTGGAGGCAGAGAATCCAAGACTCGGAAGGATCAAGCTCCCAGGTCCATCTGGGCCCCAAAGGCAAAGGCTTAACCACGACAGTAAACTGCCGCACTTATTTTCAATTCTTAAAAGTTTTTTAACTTTTCAGGAAATACTCAGTTTCAATTACAACAATGAAACTGGCAAAACATCCCACAAAACTTTAGAGATTCAATATTGTCACAATAAATGCCATTAAAATGACAGATTCTGTACTGCGTAGAGATTTCCAGAGTGAGCGAATCCATTTGAGTTTGGCCCCTGAGGAAAAGCTGAGAACTTTTTGAAGATCCAGACTGTACCATGTCCCACAGAGCAACGAGATCAGACAGTTTTTTTTCCTCGCTCAAGCTCTTCCCCACGTTTTAAACTTGTGCTGCTCTTCCGCCATCACCATCCTCCCCCTCCCGACACACACACACACACACACACACACACACACAGAGCCCAGTCCAGTTCTGCTTTCTCTTTTGCACAGTTTGAATTGCCAAACACCAGGGGCACCACCTTCTGCAACCTCTCTTCCCTTGTCCAACTGGTTTCCACAGAAAGAATGGCCGTTTCCTCGGTCCCTCCTTCGCACCGGCCGCCCTCACCTCACTTTGTCCCCAAGCGGGTTGAGGAGTCCACTAAGAAGGAAA